ACTTGTTAAATAGTTTTGAGAGGATAGACGACAGCTCCAAAGAACACTTCTGCAAGACTATAACAGGTATGTCGTCCGGGCCGCAAGCTGTAGAAGAGTCTAAGCAGGAAATTACTTTAGATACAGAAGCTGGAGTGATACGGATGTCGAGCAGTAGATTAACCTGTTTGACGGGTATATCAGGTAAAACGCAACTAGTGGCATCAAGAGATGATATTGATGAAAAGTTCTTGGCAAACAATTCAGCTTTGTCTTTAGGTGAGGTGACAAAGTCTGAACCATACAAAAGAGGTGGAATTACAGACTTGCCCTTATTATTGATACTATTAAAGATTCTCCAGAAGTCACGAGAGCCTAATTTTTGTGATGAAATATGAGATTTCATGATCTGAGAATAGCGGGCTTTAGAGTTAAACAAAACCTTTTTACAATGGTTCCTAGTAGTAATAAACAGACATCTGTTTTCTGGAGAATTGTTTTGCTGATAGATATGGAAGTAACGGTTTCGATTAGAAATTGCTGCAGCGCAATGTGAGGAAAACCATGGAGAAGAGTGAGGCTTGACCTGGAATTGTCAAGAGGTAATAAAGGATTCCATGCCAGCCTGAATCCACGAAGTTATGCAAGAAACAAATTTGTCAACAGGAAGACAAAGGAAATCTACACAGGGGCTATCACGAAGAAAATCACGGAAAGAGTCCCAGTCAGCTTTAAGGTAGTTGTAAGATGTACAATGATAGGGGGATTCTGATGGTAAAGAAGAATGAGATAATAGTTTTAGAGAGACCAAACCATGATCAGAAGCACCTAAGGGTGAGTGTGGAGAAACTGAGCACTGACTAGGATTAGAAACAAGACATAAGTCGAGCAGAGAAGGTAAATGATTCGGGTTGTCTGGAAAGCGAGTTGGAAAGTTGACTATTTGAGTTAGGGATTGAGAAAGGAAAAAGTTGTGCGCCATAATGCCTGCGGAGTCACTGACACTAGAGCCAAGCCATTCAGTGTGATGAACATTAAAGTCACCGACAACAACAATATTGGCTGATGGATAAAGAATGAGGCTTGGTCAATATAATCAGAAATAACATCAAGAAGAGTGCAGTCTTGAGATGAAGGAGAGCGATATAGAACAAAGAGAAAGGTGATAGAGTGAAGTGGTGCTAAACGAAAGCACATAAAAGAGTAGTCTGAAGATTCAAACCTAGTTTTCAGACAAATGGGTGAATTCTTACAATTGTAAATGCCTAGGCCAACCATGTGACTATTGGAGTCTTTACGAATTAAAAGAAGATAACCATTAACACTAAGATCACAAGATGAGACGGCTGAACTCAAATTAGTCTCACAAAGAGCAAGTAGGTCTGGTGAACTTTGCAAGAGACTCAACAGAAGAAAAGTTACTTTGAAGACCACGAATATTGGTGAATGATTTGGTTTTTTGTGTTTTATAGTTTTTGTGACTTTATTTATTTTTAAAATTGTTAAAGAACTTGACTCGAAACATAGATAGTACTCAGTACACTGTTTTATAGCCCAAGCCATTGCCTCATTTCCACTAATAAACCCTAAGCCGTAACAAAGGACTCCAATGTGGCCTTGGCAATGCACACCAAAAGTACAAAGAGGGACACCACCTATGCGCAACATGGCATTGTTAGTACTCTGATATTTTTCAGCTGCTGATGGAATCAGCCTCTCTGAGAGCTATCACAGAGTTCAGGAAACCTGACTACCAGCCGGCCTCAGAACCATAAAACTGAGTTTTAGATCTGTACCCTCATTTGGAGATAATAGAATGAGTTGCCTGGTCATAAAAACAGAGACACAAGCAAAACCCATGCATCGAGTCAAGAAGATCCAGCATTCAACATCCTAAAATGGAAACAATGTATTGAAAATACATCTGCGCCAGCCTAATAGATGGAGAAGGGGTGCGAGGCTGGTCAACAGATAAAATCTGTTTATCCCTTAGTTATAATTATGATAATTACAGCAACTATAATTTTATTGTAGTGAATATTTTGTTATGGCACAATCAAACAAAATAAAGTATGCAGAATTTAAAAAAAAAAGACTTGAAATAAAGAGATAATTGAGTTTTTTTATTTTCTCTCTTCCTGGGGAAAATAAATTGTGCCCCTTAAAGTACTTTCAAATATTCTGTGATTATTTCAAAGTTAAAAATTTTAAAAGTTATTAACAAATTTATTTTCTTGTTTTTTAAAGAAAAAGATGGATGTTTTTAAGCTACTGGATCATATTTTTGAAATACCTCACTCTATTGATGTCAGCATCTGAAGAGACCATGAAAAAATAAAGTTATAAAGCTGGATTCCTTTTGGGACTCCACATCCCTGGTGTGTGTATATATATATATATATATATATATATATATATATATATATATATATATATATATACACACATATAGTTATATTTATACATGTATTATATTAAATATATCTTCACATTTAGTGTCTTATTTCAACATTAAATATAT